TGAGCAGCTTAGCCAATTTGCCCATTGAGACATTTGCAGGGGTTTTGCAGGCGATGGCCTGGAAATGTTATTTTAAAAGAGAGAGAGAGAGAGAAAATAGCCTGTAATAACAAATCAATTCTGCTGCTTAATCAGAAGCCGAGACCAGTAAAAATGTTGACTTAGATCTCAGAGCCGAGCTGCTGTAGCACCCTTGAAGATATTCTTTAAAGGCCTGTGCATCTGGGCACGTACAAAGTGCCTTTTATGGACTGACCTGCAGATTACCCACACATACGCTGTTGTTTCTTTAGAAGTTCCCACTGCGGATTGCGTCTTCCATGAGATACACAATCAGCTTTGTCTATTGCCAAAGAAGGGATCATGTGCCCCCTTCTCTCTCCATCTACGGCTGCCTTCAGAGGAAGCACCATGAGGTGATGGTTTTAAATCTTTCTCTTTGAACTCGCAACGGAAACAAGGCAAAGGGCCTCGTTGCTGGTGGCCCCCTGGAATCGGGGCTCAGCCGTGCCCTCCTTGAACTTTTTCAAGGACAGTAGACAAGGCAGTAGGAGGTGGCTTTTTGAGCAGAACATGCCTAATCTTCCACATCTATTTTTTTTAAAAATGAATTAATTCGTGTTTAAATGTTCAGATAGTTCTTTCCTGGTACAGGAAGTTGTTTATTGGGCAATTGGTGGAGACAATGAGCTCATTCAGCCGAATCCGTAATCTCACTTGATGGATTTAAGTGGACTGATCACATTACGCTCACTTTTTATTTATTTACTTCTTGTTCATACATTAATGCCCACTTGTAGGAATGCAAGAATGTGGTCTTTGGCTCTCGTCTAGCAAGCTTGGAAGAGGGTGATGTGCTGTACGTGGCTCCACCTGATCTTTATCCTCATGATAACCCTGCGAGAAAGAGCAGGCTGAAACGCACAGAACAAAGATCGGGACGGTTCGCCTTCTATAGGGGGAGGGCAGGTCATCTTAAAAAAAATTTTTTTTAACTGTCCCAAGCTGTGTTCATGCCTCCTGCAATTGTGGCCACAACGCCCCGCTGCTGGGATGTTCCCAAGCAAAGCATGATGGGAATATCCTTTCCCAGTTGGCCGTGCAAGAATTTGAAGGAAGGAGGGTGGGAGCCGCTGGCCCTCTTCAGTCAAAACGTGGCATAAATCCCATTGATTCAATGCCCGTTCTGCGTTCAGGACCAAAGGGTGGATCAAATTCCCTTAGAAATGGTGTGAAAGTCATGGGGTTTTTGTGTGTGTGTGTTTTTGCTCTGTTGACTTTAACATCCAGCTTCCTGATCATAGAAGGTCGCTATTTTTGACTGCGCCAAGCCACTGGCAGTCTTGTTCTTGTTTACCTTTTAGCTGTCCCAAGCTCCTAGCCCTTAAGGTCTCGTCATTCATTAGAGCCACTTAGGTGGCTCATCAGGCTTGTGAGACATTTCGAAGCCTCGTGTGAAACATCCTAAGGGCGCTCTCTGTGCATTAGAAGTTTATGCACCTTTTGAGGAGCACGTTGGTTGCGATGCCTTTCGGGTGACCTCCAGAATCTCTTTCTTGGGGTGGCCTGCCATCCCTCTTTCCTCGTGGCCAGGCTGTCTTTTCCCTCACCCCCACCCCCTGGGTCATGCAGTTCCTTGCACGTTGCCCACATGGCCTTGCGCACGAGGGCCTCCATGCGCTCATTCACCCACAGGACGGCTGGTGGTTGTGGTCACCCTGGGGACCAGGGGTGGGGGCGCCTTGCGACCAGGAAGGTTGAGCAAGTTTGCAACCCCTGGAGTGGGCAGGTGACGGACTTTGAGAAACCCATGGGTGCAAAATGTCAACCTTAGCCACACAAGAAATCCCCGAGGAGAGGAGACCCGGTAAACAAAGCTGTATAAGATTTGGGATTTGGGGTAGACGTGACGGATGGTGTCAGATTCGTGGTTTTCCATATTTCTAACCTGCAGTTTTTAAGTGTGGTTTCCTCTGCATCTCTAGGCTTTTTCCAGGGCAGGGTGGGATATACATGGAATAAATGTTATGACAGCTGTTAATAGTCGTCATAGACAAAGGCTTTCGTAATTTTGTTCTACAAAGCAGGAGTTCAAGGCCAGAGGGGTGTCCTCTGGAAGCAAGGCTCTCCCCTTGTCCAGCCCAAATAAATTAAATTAAATTGAAATGAAATAACGGCAGGGCCTGGGGAATGCCTCACATTTGGGTTTTGGCAAGGGTTACGTGTAGATCCTCAAGTGTAAGGATGTGTTTCCCCGGGAGATGAAGGCCAAGGTCATCTACACAACCTTGTGTTCCCAGTCATCATGTCTGGATGTGAAAGCTGGACAGTTAAGAAACCTGACGAGGGGGGGGGAATTGATTTGTTAGAATTATGGGGCTGGAGGAGAGCTTTGCGGATGCTCTGGACAGCCAGAAAGACGGACAAGTGGATCCTAGAGCAAATCAAGCCTGAACTCTTTCTGGAGGCAAAAATGTTGAGGATGCTTTGGGTGGCTCGTGAGAAAACAAGAGTATCCCTGGAAAGGATCATCATGAAAGGATTCATCACGAACGGTGGAAGGCACAGGAAAAGAGGAAGACCAAATACGAGGTAACTAGAAAGACGGACAAGTGGATCCTAGAGCAAATCAAGCCTGAACTCTTTCTGGAGGCAAAAATGTTGAGGATGCTTTGGGTGGCTCGTGAGAAAACAAGAGTATCCCTGGAAAGGATCATCATGAAAGGATTCATCACGAACGGTGGAAGGCACAGGAAAAGAGGAAGACCAAATACGAGGTGATGCTTTGGGCGGCTCGTGAGAAAACAAGAGTATCTCTGGAAAGGATCATCATGTAAGGATTCATCACGAACGGTGGAAGGCGCAGGAAAAGAGGAAGACCAAATACAAGATGGACGGACCCCCTAAAGGAAGCCACAGGCTTGAGTTCGCAAGAGCTGAGCTGGGCTGTGGATGATGAGACGCGCTGGAAGCCGCTCCTTCATAAGGTCTCCCTAAAGTCAGGACGGCTTGATGGCGCATAACAACAACGAAGATGCATCGCACAACAGGTTGTACGACTGGAACCCCTGCTGCATATACACTGCACTATTATCATCATCTCCATTCCCTTCATGGCGAAAATGATTTTATTCCTTAGTAAGGATTACAACAGAGGTTGCAAAGTTCTTAGTGACTCGAATAATCCAAGGTTGTTTTACCAATCATTGCTCTGTATTCTTTGCACTTTATTTAAAAAAAATTAGGATAGCTTTCAGGACCAAGAGAGATGCGGCTCTCAAAATGTTATAATTACATCTTTCTATCACTTATTGCGGATTCCACCGGTGAGTCAAAGAGGTAGGCGCTAAACTTTAGGAAGTTTTGGCCTACACTTCTGGGGATTCCTTCAACCACCGGCAAAGTTTTTAAGGTCTTCTGACCCATTGTGGGTTTGTGCCTTTTGGATCCCGCATGGAATTTCTGAAGTTGGACAGCACAGTCTTAGAAAAACCTAACATACCTATTGCTACATCTGGGGCAAACATCCAAGGGTCGCGAGGCACCCTTTTTCAGACTAATGAGTCTCATTTAGCATTCCATTCGGGTCTTGGGAATCTCTCCCGCTGGCCTCCGAACCTCTTGCGCACCCCCAGCTTGTGGGTTGCACTTGAGTTTTCCAGACCGATGAGAAAGCCCCAGCTGTCGTCGGAACCTGACCCCATCCTCGTTTGGCTTGTGATTTTATTTTATTTTTTAAGAAGAAAAACATGCCACAAGGGAGATTTCAAGGGGTGTGTGTGATAAAGCAGAGAAGGAAGAATTAGGAAATGAACAGATACCCCCGGCTGCCGGTCGAGATAAAAGGTGGCGCCAAGGTTTTAAAGGGACTGTACGAGATCATTTAATCACACAGAGTTCAAACTCCGGTCTTGCTTCCCAGTTTCCCAGTGGCGTGATACAGAGCGAATTCTTTTTGTACCTGCAAAAATATTGTGCCTAGCCAGTTCTATTAATTCCAAGGCCAAGCTGGATTCCAAGAAAAGGCACAAGGACTCAACGTGATGAGAAAAGACAGCAGGCTTAGGAAAAGGGAGATCAAAACCCACATTTTGTCCATTTCTGGCCCTCTCTGAGGACCACGGGTGGGGGATAGAGGACACGGCCACACAGAAGTAGCTTTGGAAATCTTATTTTCCTGGAAAAGCGATGATTCCATGTTTGGAGAAATACGATAATCCTACATTCGTTCTTTTCACTCCGATTTTGTCTTACAAGCCATTGAGGTGTGCTAGAACGGCACGTGTGAATCAATGAAAACGGACACTTCCACCTCGTATATTTATTATCTCCTATTTCATACGCTTACATTTAGAGATGTGGCTCTGTTCCCCTCCCACCCATCTGGGATTGTTATCAAAGCGCTGCTTGGATGTGCAAAGACCAAAAAACAAAACAAAACAAAACAAAACAAAACCACACACACACATAGTGCCCTCCCTCTGAACTTTTCCATCGCCTGCATGCTGAAAATCTTCCTTCTTTCAGAAAGACTGTCTGGTGGTGGGAAGGAAACAATAATTTAATCCTGTTGAAGCTGCTGTCCTGCCGGTTTGGGTGTTCTTGTGGCTCACAGAAAAGATGAGCGGCAACGTCCCAAAAAGAAAACAACGAAGGAGAAGAAATAATAATATTTTAAAATCAAAGACAGATGATGGGAGGTGGGGGGAACGCATTGTGTCCCTTCAGCTGCCATGAGTTCTCCCTCCTACCCTAATAGAAATAATAAGGTTAATATTTCTTTCTTGCTGCATTTCCTAATAAGCCATTAAAGTTTCTTCTTTTCTTCTTCTCCTTCTTCCTCCCCCTGCGTCTCTTCCCTCCTTCCCTCCCATCTGATTGTTTTGTAAGCTGATCCTGGATACACAGCGAGCGATTACATACTTTTAGAGGGAAGACAAAAACAGCAACAGGGAAAGACGTCTGTATTGTGTGTGTACAACCCCCCCCCTTCTTTTTTTCTTCTTCTTCTTTCTTGCGGTTTTGGTGGTGGCAGTGGTGGGTTTGCTCATCATGCACAGGGCGTGCCCTTCCCACGTAAGGCGGTGGTGACTCAGTGGGAGCCGCAAGGCTTCGCCTGGCGAGCCCGTCTTATAAAAAAGCCTGGAAGTCAGGCAGCTGCATTCGGAGTCCACCCGTCAAGAAGGGAAGGAACGAATGGTCGGAGAAAGGCCCCCTCCAGAAGCTCCACCGTCCCGGCAGCACCTAGAGATGTCTCAGAGGATCCTCTTCGTCCTCCTGGCTTCGTGGCTGGCCCTCGCGGCCCAGTCGGCCACCGTTCCTCCCAAAGGTAGGTGTCTGCCGGAGACGGCTCCCAAACCTCTTTCTCTTTCTTCGTTCCGATCGACGGTTGACAGCTCCGGACGGTGTAGCGAGAGCTCTTCCGAGTGGGCAAAACAGGGGAGCCCCGTCCAGCTTTGGCACGTTCCGACCCTGACGTGGGTCGTAGCAGTGCTGCCAGCCTCCGGAGTCACACAGAGCCCTTTGTCACGCAGAGTAGAGGTTAGCCCATTGACAGCCCCTGCTTGGTGTGTTCCCTTGCTTGTCTCGTGACCATTCCTGAGTTTCTTGGTGGCCATCCTTTTCTTCTGCTGCCTTGGCACTGCAGGGTGGATAAGACTTCAAAACAATCCTACCCTCATCCTTGTGCTTGGAACCAGGGAGGGGGGGAAGAACTGTTTATCTATTTTAGCTGAGCCCTCCAAGCCTTTGATCGCTCCCAGGCCCTGGCATCTTGCAGGCCAAGAGGAAATGACTAAAAGACATTCAGACCTCATCACATGATCTGTTTCCAAACAACAGAAGTTTGGTTAGCTCTGATCCAGTTGGACCTGCTGAACTTTTAATTAAGACCCAGTGGCCTTTTGGATCTAGAAGCTCATTGAAGAGCATTGTGATTATTTAATTCTTGTATGTTTTGCAGCGGGGGGGAGAGAGAGCCATGTTTTGGTTGTCCGCGAAACAGCTCCTTTCCTTTGGCAGGAGGATAATAATAATAATAATGTGTGTTGATTAGTCTGCCAAACAGTAGGGCCGGCTTTGGTGAAACAGCCATTTCCTCCTCCCTGGCAGAGAAAACTGAGGACGAGAGAGAGCCTCCTTCCAAGGCAGAACCCTTTGAGAGGCCCTTGTTCGACACTCAGGGATTATGCCATAACTTTTGCTACTTCTTTCCCACCAGGAGCGAAAAGAGAAAACAACCAAAGTGGGGTTACGTAAAACAGCCCCAAAACTAACAGACCATGGGGAAAAATTATTTTCCTCAGGGTTTGTACCTCTCCTCAGCTGGCCTAGCCAACATGCTTCCTAGCTGATGTTCGAAAAAAAGGGAACTTTTCAAAAGTCTGGAAATAAATTCTTGCAATGCTGCATGGACTGTGGAAATATGTGGCTGGTTTTGAAAAGCTACATATATGTAACCTGAGACCTCTTGATGGGTGCTCTCCATCAGATCTATTTGTCTTTAAATGCATTGATAAATATTTACATTCTCCAAAGCGAAAATGGGAGTCGTTTGAGAACGGACAAGTAGTTGACAAAGAACTTTGAACAGGTTTTTGGAGCCACCCAGGATCGTATCAGCGTTTAGGAAAGACAAGAAATTCCCGGAGCCTCTTTATTCCCATAAGATCTTTCTTTCGGCTTGCAGACGGCACTTCCTGAACAAGTTCGTTGGCGAAAGTGTTGTTTAGCTAAAGTGCAAATCTGTCTAGGTTTTAGACCTCATCTCTCAGGGATTAACTTGTGTAAACACAAGAGTATCTGCTCCTGGTGGATGTTGACTTGGAGGAGGGAAGCGAATCCATCAAGATGGAGTGATGACATAGGCCATCAAGAGTAAACAAACACGAGATAGACCAGAAAATATCTGTTGTTCCAAAAAAAACTTTTGGAATTCCAGTGCATTTCAGACTTAACAAAAAGGAAAAAAAAATCTGTCTGACAATGAGCTGAACGTGGTGACTCTGATTTGTGCTCGTGGAAAATCTCTTCTGGGTTACAGTCTTCCAAGGTACTGAATGAGTTTTGGGACAGAGCAGATTTCAGCAGGTTGGACAGCACCTGAAAACTTCTTAGTAAAATCTGGCCTAGACCCAGTGTCCCCATGGAACTGGAGTCACCAGCCTGCATTGGGACCCACGACCACCACCCCCACTTGGCCCGTGATGGAGGTGCCCTCCTATGCTGAAAGAGTGCTGGTCCTTCAGCATGGATTTCCGATGCAGCCGGAGTCTTCCTGCAACTGAAGAGACGGATCACTGTCGTGGAGGAGAGGAGGAATACATTTGCAAACCCACGATGGGCAGAGACTTCCACAGGTGGACTGCAAGCCACCCACAGATTGAAGGAGTTCCTGCAGCCAGATCGACTTTCTGCCCACATTTCATGGAGAACATGTTGGAGTCATCCAGGTAGCCTCTCTCAGGTAAAACAGGCACGGCTGCCCTGGCCCCAAACATTAATGAAAGCCTCGCTGATGTGGCCCAGTAAGAAGAGAGTTCCTGCCTCCTGCCAAGGGTGTGAGCGCGCAAAGGAAGTCCGACAGGCTCGCCTTGCTCCAATACGGATGCGGAGAGGAAGTCGTTTTAAACTGATTAATGAATTAAAAATATTTTTACCCTGCCTTTCTTCTTGAACAGACCTTATAACGGGTGATTTAACTGAAGCAAGAAAAAAGAAAAAAGAAAAAAAGAAAAAAAAAGCTGATCTTCATCCCACCTGGAATAACATCCACCCTCGCTGGCAAGGAAATCTGGAGAGGATTTAAAGTACCTTGTTTATAGTCTGGCTGGGATTTAGTTCCAAAAGACGCCCTGGGTTGTTTTACCTGGCATGGATGGTCTGCTTAGTTACTGAATCCACATCTCCTCTCGTTTCAACCCCACCCCACCCTCCCCTTTTTCCCCCGTTTACTAGGTGATGGAGGAGAGAAGCCACCGCCACCACCTTCCGATGATCTCCAACAGGAAATGATGCCCGACCAGGTGCTACTGGACTTTCTCTTCCAACATCCCATCGACGACCAAGCCTTGGACGGTGAGCAAGGGAGAGTGTCTCGGTTGTTGAAGATCTGTTCTGGGTGTGTGTGTGTGTGTGGAAAGGGCCAGCTTCAGAAGGCAGCTGTTGTGAGCATAGGCATCCTTTGAACAGAACAGAAAAATGTCCCCACGCCTGTTTAGTTCTCTCTGTATTGCACTTATTGCCTGGTTTTCCACTCATGGGCTGTGCATGGCAATCCCAGCTCTCCAACATCTCACGTTAATGTTCACAACATCCCTGTGAGGTGGGTCAGGCAGAGAGAGCATGGCCAGGCCGAGATCCCTCGGCGACGTCTGTGACTCAGCGAGGACATCTTCCTGAGTCCCGGATGGAGGCTCTAACTGCTCTCCCGGACGGCTCTGTTGTGTTTTTTTTAAGGTGCCGACGTCACGGGCATCGTCCAGACCCCTCTGCGGCCTGCCTTCGGCCCCCGGGGGAGGCGCCCTGGGTGCCACGACGACCTCCTCTGTACCCGGGAGCCCCCCGTCTACAAACTGGACGAATTCCCGCCGGCCCGGCCCACCGTCGACAACCTCGCCAACATCTGCGCGGAAGGACGGAAGAAGGCTTCCTACGGGCCCTGGAATCTGCCCCAGACGGGCTTCTCCCACCTGAGCCGCCAGGGGGACGCCCTCAACGCCCTCGAGGATGACCTGGATCGATGCTGCCAGCTGTCCGAGGAGGAGAAGCTGCCCTGCTCTTCCGAGGCGGTGAGTCCCCCTTGGCCCTGCCTCTCACGGGCTCGCCAAGAGAATGACGTTTTAAAACAATTTAAAAAGCCAAAGGCCGGGCAGAATCAGGCCCGGATGTCCCAGGGCCAGAGGGCCCTGCCCTTTTCCTGTCTTTCGGCGGTTCCCCTAGCTTTGAGATGGGGTTTCCTCAATTGCAATCCCTTTTCATAAGGCTTAGCAAGCAGGTGAAATTAGGGTTTTAAGGATTCCACTCCCTTTACGAACAGGAGAGTCTTGGCCTGGAGATTGGAGTTGAAAGAGTTTCTGAGGTTCATCATGGAAAGGTCTTTCTAGACTGCCCGAAAACTACGATGTTTATGAGTCCCCCCCCCCAATTATTTGCTTTTCCGGCTGTGTGCCTGGGAAGAGGCTGTGATGAAGGCGGGATGAGGGAGTCGCACTCTTCCCGCGACCCAGGTCCTCGCAGCTGCTGTGTGCCTCCTTCGGCCCTCGCACCCAGGAGTCCCTGTCTGTCTGACCGTCCGTCCGTCTCTCCCCCTCACCCTCCAGTGGTCGGACGCCTTGGCGCAGTTCTGCGAGGCCGAATTCTCCACGAAGACCAAGCCTTACCACTGCTGCCTGCTGGAGGGGGCCCCCCAGGAGCGCTGTTTCCTCCGGGAAGCCCCTTCCCCAAAGGACGGCAGCCTCCGGGGCCAACCCTCTCCAGGGGAGAAGCCGGGCTCCTGCACGGATCCTTCCCGGTGCAACACTGCGGAGCTGGCGAGCCCGCGGTCGGTCCCGAAAATCTCCTTCCCTCCGGGGGAGCCCACGGACGCCAATATTCTCAATATTTGCAAGCTGAGCAAATTCCGTCCGCGGTACCCGGCTGCCCGTCTCCCAGAGTCACATTTTGGATGGGTGGTGCTCCAAGCCCGGGCCGTGAACCGCGTGGAAAAGGCGTTCAAGAAATGTTGCCGGGCCAAAGATGTGGGTTGCGCCCACAGAGGGGTGAGTGAGCCAAGCCACGCGGCCTTTCCGGAAGGCTTCCCGGCGCTTCGACCACCACCCTCCATGTGTCTCCTGCTGCGGGGGCCTCCCTCCCAGCCTCCTGCGCTCTGTGGTTGCCTCTTCATCCCATGTGTCGTGTGTGTTGCGTACGTGCAGGTCCAGTGCTTATTAGCCAATCGCTGCTACCTCTCGCTCTCTCACCTTGGGGATTGTGTGTATGTGTGTGTTCCTCTGCCAGCCTCCTGCCCCTTTTCAAAAACCCTTCTTTTTTTCCCCCCCGGCAGTGGGAAACCACCCTGATACAGTACTGCAAGCAGGAATTCTCGGTGAAGACCAGGCCTCACATGTGCTGTAAAGAGAAACAACTGGATGACCGTCTTGCCTGCTTCGCCATCCAGGCCCCTTACCCAGCCTATGACAAGGAGGTCACGACAGTGAATCTGGCCCAGATCACCTCCTCGCTCCTGGACTCCCTCTGCCGACCCGTCAGCCTTCTGAGCAAGCAGTGAGTCGACTTTCTTCCCTGGTCGGGCCCCGACTCCTAGCTGTCAGGGCACAGAGCTTGTAAAAGTTACTTTTGGTGGGCCAGGGGTCTCGGAACGTGCTCCTCCTCCCAAGCCCGCGTGGCTGTCGCTGGTCCTGCCAGGAGGAACATTCCAGGGAACTTGAGGAAATTAGATTTGGATGGCAACTCCCGGATTCTCCCGGACGGTGTGGTGCAGGCTTTCAGGAGGCTGTCAATTGTAATTCAGCAAAGTACCATTTCTGTGTTCTATGCAAAGCAGCAAAGCCCTGGGAACGCTGAGTCACAGCCCTCTCAATTATTTTGTTGGAGAGATTTAAAAAAACCTTAATTGTGAGCAGATATCATCTCTGTTTCCTCTACGGCGGCGCCTTTAGTCCCGTCCTGTTTCCTCCCCTTGCGCCAGCCACTTCTTTGTAGAGAAGGGAGCGCGGAGGGTGCCTGTTAAAAAAAGGAGAAAAGGGGGATGATCCTGAGATTGAGCCCAAGACATTTTGCCCCCTGAGGCCGAATGGCAAACCAGGCCCCTCCCAACTCCCACCGAAGATAAAGGGCCTGAATGCAAAGCCAGCCAAGTTGTTTTGCTACCCAAGAAAACCCCACAAGAAGCTCCTCCCTCTGTAGCTTTAAACAAAAAAACAAAAAGCCCCAAACTGGACTCCTTAGGTGACCATTTGCTGTTCTTCGATGGCAGGGCTAAACCGGCCTCTTGGGGTGGCTACTGCACCCGGCCCCAGGCTTGGGCCTGCCCTTGGAGGCATTCATGGCCTCATTCTTTCCTGCCACCCCAGAGTCTCTCTCTCCCTCTCTCTCTCTCTCTCAACACACCACATGCTTGGAAGGAGCCCCAGGAACGGTGACCAAGAGTCCCTGTAACTGAGCAACTCCATCCACCCCATCTCAGCCCCTGCCCACCCCCACCCCCAGGACCTGCTTTAGAGGATTGTTCTGTGCCAGGTTGGCATCACCTGCACGGGGCTTTTGGCCAAGCGGAAAAGAGGCTGCCCTGCTCATCCCGTGTAGAATTTGGGACTGAGGAAATGACAGGCAGCTCTGCATGGCGCCTCCAGGATGGGAGGTGGCCCAGAGAAGGCACCTTATGCGGAGGAAGGAAGGAGGAGGAAGGAGGAGGAGGGAATGGAAGCATCCGGGTGGTTTAGGAAATGAATTCAGGGAGGAAGGCAAATACTGTAGCTGGAATAAATGGGTCGGCTGCTCCCTCTTGTGGCTGAAATGCAGAGTGCGTCCCCCATTTTTTGGTGTTGGCCCGTCTGTTGAGAAAACTCTTAACCTTTTCTCTCTCTCCCTCCCAATATGTTCCCGTTTAACTGGGAGTTTAGAAACATTACTTCTTGGATGACAACTCCCATTGTTTCTGGCATGCCTCTCCCCCCAACCCTTTACTCTTACTGATAAATGATTTATTATTTCCAAATCGACAGGAAGCCCATCCCGGCTTTGGTCCAGAACATCACGGAGCCCTGCTGCCCCTTGCAAGCCGAGCAGAGGACCCAGTGCGCTCAGGAGACGGTGAGTCCCTTCCTGGGTGGTGGAAGCAGTTCTGGGTCAGGAAGGAGACAGACCGGGCAAGGTGGGGTGGGGTGGGGAGCCTCCCCTAACTCACCCGAGGGGGGTATTCATACAACCGGAGGGGGCGCCTCCACATCTGTGTGGGTGAGAGGAAGGGCTTCGTAACAGCGGCAAAGGATTCCGTCCCTGTTCTCAGCTCCTTCCAATCCTTATCACCCCTCCTTGATTCATCTGTGACCATTAGGCATGCCAGCACAAACTTCGGACACTCATGTATTTCTGCAAATCCCATTTCTCCTCGCCACCACCTTAAAACAAATGATCAGTAGAACAAGTAGATAAACAGAAGGCCCAGAAACCTGTCAGTTTAGAAAAAGGGGGACACCTTTTATCCAGTTTTTTTTTGATGAAGGGATTTATGCTCTGGGAGAAGCTTGGTGAGCTGAGTACAGTATTCCTTTCCTCCCCCCCTTTTCAGATGAAACATTTCATGTTTTGAAATGCAAATATGCTTTTTAAAAAAACAAATGCTAGTGGACATTTCGAATTTCAGTTTGGCTGCCCTGAATTTCTTACCCTTTGTGTACGCTTTCCTGAAATTCCCTCCCAAATGAAAAGTTAGAGCCGAATTAGATAACATGAAAAAGTTGTTTTTCCCTTCTGAGCTGCCGGCTTCCTCCTCCGACGTTCGCCCCTTTGCAAAAGGAAACACCCCCTGAAACTTTGCACCTCTGGTCTCCTCCTCTAGAAATCCCAGTTCATCGCCAACATCTGCAGCTCTCAGAAGAAGACCTGGAAGGATCCCCAGAAGTGCTGCGCCCGGGAGGAAAGCCAGGCTCGTGACGACTGTTTCAACCTGAACTACCTGAGCGACGTGGCTTATGCGGCTGTGGATCAGATCTTCCCCCCGGCAGAGCCGGCCGTCTAAGCCTGCCATTGACAGTCCCGTCTCTCTCTCTCTCTCTCGGTCTGCACTGACTCTCCACTTCAAGAGAGCCTCCCTTTTGTGGCACTTTATTTCCTAGGCGGTGGCTCCAGACGGATCAGGGCCAACCCTAGATAAAAGTTGTAGATTAGATCTTGTCTTGCTTTGGGCCTCGTTTTCACCTTCCACCCTTGGGAGCATTTAATGGTGTTTGTTTCCAGCTTCTTGTGGGGCCAGGATTGGGGTCAGAAAGAGGGGAAGAAGGTATTTTTCTTCTCCCCCTGCGGCTCCTGCCAGCTCCATCTTCGCCAGCTGGCCCAGTCAGGGGCTGGTGGTGGTGGCCGGAGCACTCTGTTCCTCAAGAGGGAAAGAGAGTGTTTGGATCAGGGCTAAATCTCTGAACGGTCCCTCTGGTCCCCAACGTGCTGCTGGATGCTTTCCGCTCAGGCGCAGGGCCCAAGGAGGGATCACGGCGTGCCTGGGGGTCGGTTTCCGAGTGGCTTTCCCGCCGGGCTTTGGAAAGGCAGACCGGCGTGTCCCGCAGCCCGAACAGGGAGGGGGAGACCTGAGACCTCCCGCCTCGGGTACCGGCAAGCCCACCCAGCAGCAGAAGGCCAGGAGGAGAAACGGGGGGCTGGAATTTTTTTGGTTAGCTTGGTTCCCTTCTCACCTTTCTTGACTTTGGGGGGGGGTCCCTGTTGCAGACTCCTTTGCTCGCCCTTGTCGCGACCCTGCTTTGTACAGCCGTCTCCGCCAGAGGCACCGGGGGCCTTTAATAAACCACTTTTTGGGGAAAGAACCTGTGTTTATCTTCACTCTTTCTGTCTGTCTGGCGCCTTCTCACGAAACCCTCCAGCCCTTGGCCTCCCTCTGATGGGGCACAGTTTGGACACACCAA